CTTATAAACATTATTGTGTTTTTATACATTAATGTGTAGAATTTAAATGCTATGAATTTAATTTTGCAAACAATCCTCTTTAATAGATATCATTCTTGTTATTTCAGGATAATCAATAATGTACTAAACCGATCACTTCTTATGCTGATTTCAAGAGAACGTAATTTGGATAACAGGATCTCGTATTGACACTTATACACGACGATAATGAACGAATGATATGTAGCTTGACCTAGATGTAGACCTTTCCATTTAACTAATAAGGCTAAACTTTAAAGCATTCAATCAAATCTCACATGCAATCCTCTCAAATTAAGATGTATTAACGAAATCTGTTCAATCCTTAAACTTAGGAATTTGATATTAATTAAAGACATCGTATTATTTGAAAGTCCATCGGTAATGTCGAACAAATGACTTTTTATAGAAACAATAAAGGAGCTTCGCATGTAAGTATGCTGGCAAATATTTTGATCGAGTCTTTTATCTTCTGTCACGAGTATAACTATAGAGAACTTTGATATCAATTATTTAGATTTAAAACGAGGATCTTGATTTTATCTAATTTTCAAAATAATGTTGTTGTTGATGATAATGTCGTTATTCTCATATAATTTGTGCTCACTTTTTCTCTGACTTATTCTCCTATTATACACAATGGCCCATATTTTGACAATTATGCATACTCAACTTTAAGATTCGGGCGTGTCATATTAAATAACTCGCTGTAATCGTGTTAAATAATTTGATAAGTGATAAGTGGCACGGATATTTGAGATCGCATTTAAAATCTTAAATAGTAGTTCCTTAAAGTTTTTGCCCGCAATTCGCAAAACGTGCTGTGGACGATTTTAAACTTCGTTACCTATATAACAAACATATGAGAAAATTGCACATTGACGACTCGATGATTTCAACAACATGTACATCTGCAGATATTTTTTAAATGTCGTATTTCGTTAATTTTAATTTTTTGCATATACCGTTTGCTGCAGTAAGACAGATTGCATATTCTACGAACTGAAAAAAGCATGCATTATAACCGTGTTATAAACCTTCAATTCTGCTTAATTATCCCCTCTTTAAGAAGAAAACGAATAATATGGCATTTGGTTTGTAGTCATACTATATCTTTTATGTATTTTAGTCTCTATTATGCAAGTAGTCATCTAGCAAGTTAATATAGAATAAAAGTACCTATCGATGACTCTCTGCAAGAAAGTGCCACGTATGTATAGCAATTATTATGATCAAACGAGAGAAAACGAACGGTGCTAGATCGTTGACATTCAAATTATTGTGAAGCAAATCACGTGCTGTCATTGTGGCTTGATCTCGATAATTTGAAGTATTTACTATCCCTGTGCTATCCTTATTACTAGAGAGCAAAATGCTAGTGAACTAATGCCTCATTAGTATTGAGTTCTAATAATAGATGTGATATAAGTTCTTCTTAAAGCAAATTTGGAAGAAAGCTAAATCATTTAAGAATTTTTTAAGCTAATATGTAAAAGCATGAATCCCTCGATATGTATCGGAAATCCTTTTATTAATTCCGCAGTGAAAGCTCTGGTCACAAGCTGAATTTTGTTGATTGAATAGAAAGGACATTTGGATGAGGAAATAACAAGTTATTGCAAACAGATCATTTATTATTCATTTATTCAAAGGTCTTGATGTCACGTTTGCATACCCTATAGTTTGACAATTCTTATTGTGATTTGTATCAAAAATTGATTTGTGTGGAAATGTTGTATTGTTTTAAAATTTTGTAACCTTTAATAGTTTACGTTTAAGAGTATATATTGATATTCATGAATATCTGCATTTTTTGGGAACAGAAAATTTAAGTGTCAATTATATTGAATAATCATTAACAAAAACACACGCTGTGATTGATAGCATTACTGTACATGATTTACCAGTACTAGCAGACGTCAATAAATTGAGCAAGCATTTTACTAAATTTATAGAGATTATAAAGCCATGTCATTAGTGAGTAATCATATTTAACTGATAAAATGATCGTAAAATTATTTGAATCACATTTTTGTCTTTACGTTTTATCATGCATATTTGTAATACAATTCAATTTCAATCTTGATTTAAATCCTCTGATAAAAGTGCTTACTATATAATGTACATGGTATATTAAGTTCAGGAAGGAGGACAACTATTGGTACTAAATTTATTTATTTTTCTACTTTTTATCTGCTCATTTTTTAAGTTCACATATGTAGTTATAACTTATGGAATAAGTTAATCTTCATTCTCTCAATATATAATATAATATCAACTTGTCCATATTTAACGTTATCTTAAAGTTGAATTTTTCTTGAAATTTAATTTACAAACATTGTCATTTAAACTACGTTTAAGATGTATGATTTTTAATGCGTTTAAACAAATTACTACCGTTTAGCTTATCATTGTTTTTAATGATTATTATTTTACGTATCTCGTGTTTCGTATTGTTTTCAGTATGCCAGCATGTACTTTCATGGTTATGTTGTTTTTTTCCATTGAAAGTATGCTATAATTTAAAGAAAAATGCACCACTGTTTTCCGTAAATAGGCGTTAAGTGGTTGATTATGTTGTTAAATAATATATAATGTAAATTATCTCATATGAGATCGTATGCAATTTCAAGATATGAATCCTATTTAATTGAAGAATAAACCCGTTTTGTTCTCTTATCAAAAGCAACATATTTGTTCGGAGCTTTATCTGAAGTTTTCATGGGGTGTATGTGCATTTTGCTATAAATATTTTATATGGTTTATGCAATAAATATATGGAGTTGAATTTTAATATATGTTTGGTGTAAATCATTGTTTACTTCTTGAATGTTTTATTACCAATGTTCCAGTTTGCATACACAAATGGTTTTAACAAAGAAAACAAATCATTTAGATAGATCATATGGCATTTCATCAGTATAGAGATTTTATTTAGGTTAATGTCGCTTATTCGAAGCCGTATCTACTTTAATTTTAAACAACAACAACAGCAGCAACAACAACAAAAACAACAAAAAAATCAACCAAAACTTAATATAAAAAATCGATGGAAAACATTATGTTTATTATAAAAAGCGGTTGACGGGAAATATTTGCACAATTTTCAACCATTTGAATGCGCATAAATATTTATTGTCATGGTGGCCATAAACATGCAAAACTCTCTGATGAAAAGTGACCATGTGCATTATGCTTACTTACAACCTGTTTCAAAATTAATATTTTCCAGTCACTTCATATCTTAAAAATATTGCCATTCATCAAATTTTCATTAATATTCAGAATCAAACATAGGCACTATTTCTCATGTAAACATTTTGAATTGGGCAACTAATATAACTGTGGTGATTATTTCTTATCAGGGGGACCAAGGTATAACAAACAATTCATAGCTCTTATCTAAAAGTCGCGCGTTTAAAATTAAAAAGAAATGATACAAAACATGTTTCCTAAATGCTAAAGTGACCAGTCCATTTTTATATATCTACGGTTTACGAATGCTTCCTTAAATTATAGCACATTATATTTCATCGTTTTGCAGGTTATTTGTAGTGAAAGCTGTAGAAGATGTTATAAATTATCAATGTATTGTATTTAAAAATATGGTAACATTTTCCGTAGTAATATGAGACAAATAATGTATCCAAACAAATGAATATTTTCAAAGGTGTAACAAGGAAAACCTCCCCATAATATATCTTGTTTTCTAGGATCGCTAATATTTGTGTATGTTGTTTATGGAAGCCAATCTCATACTGATTTCTGGAATGGTTTATACTCGTATATATATATTAACAATGTTTTAAAGTTTCTTACCATAAAATAGGTTCCATTGATTCATTTCCTCTGTTACTCACGAAACGGAAATAGCTTTTATATACTAATAGATTACCTGAAAGAAAACCTGTTACTAAGGATACGGCAATTATTCACCCCCTGTCCTTTTGATCCGTATTAATATAACAAGGCATTTCACATTATAATGCAGTTTTATAAAAAGGTGCCATAAAAAAAACTTTAAAACCTTGCTAAAAGACTCTTCGGTAATATAAAGAACATTAAAATGTTTCTTATATATTTCCTTATGTATTTTCAAAAGATACGAATACAAAACAGAACTTTTCAAGAATAAGCGATAACATTAATAATGTTGGCTTATAATAGGTATGTTATTCATTTCAATAGTTTAATAAGCAGGTATACCATGAGAAACAGTAAATATTTTATAACAGGTATATGTCTCAATCCTTATACGGAAATGAAATATACGTATGATTTTATGTACATAAGTATTTGAAGTTAAACACGAATTTTAAAAAAAACTCTATTTCCGTCATTCTGATTATTTTTAAACATTGTTTGTAACGCATGCTTCTTACATTGATAAAAGTCTTTTTGGTAATTTTATGTACGCAATATTGTTTTTAAATAGAATGTCAGAATGTTATTCTGTTTAGCTGTTTTCTGCCACCACTTATTTAATCATCACAACTCTCTCATTGAGATTCTTTATTGTGTCTCACAGCGCGTGAGAAATTATCCAGAGAGGGCCTTTGATAAATCGATTCGCTCAAAACGTTGGTATATAAATATGGCAAAAGCATTTCCGAAGAAATAACTGTTCTGACTTCTTAATACAAGGAGGAATATTAAATCATTACTATTATTAATAAGTGTTTTTTAAAGTAAATTAAAGTAAAGGGATGTTATTTCGAGATAAAACAGAAATTTGATGAAACAATTATGGATATACTGTAATATTGTTAAAAAATAATGTTGTACTGTAGGGGATATATATATATATATATATATATATATATATTATATATATATATATATATATATATATATATATATATATATATATATATATATATAATATTATATATATATATATATATATATATATATATATATATATATATATATATATTATTATTATTATCATTAATTATCTGAATATTTCTTCACTGTTTTAATACCAACAAAAAGGGGATTTATGCATATCATTAAAATTGATATATCTTGATTATATATTTTCAAACAAAGAAACTAAAAATGGATATGAATCTAACATATTTTAAAGGGGTGTCTGCAGTTCATAATATTACAAGTAATTTATCCACAATACGGAAAGGGATAAAGTCAAATGATTTTGACGAATACTGGTATGAATATGATTATGATGCGGATCCTGGGAATATTCCTGTGCAACAGTTAATACCAGTTTCCTTAGTCTATGGAGTAACAATGGTTCTTGGGTTGCTCGGTAACAGTTTAGTGATTGTTTCGGTGGCGAAGTTTAAGAAGATGCAAAACGTGACAAATATGTTTCTGTTAAGTTTGGCTACAGCGGACCTTTTGCTTGTAATGATTTGTGTTCCTGTAAAGGTAATTTTATTTGAATGGAAATTTAATTTAACATTTAATTTATCTGTTTGATATTAATATTTGTGTAGAGATGTAACGTCATTTCGTATAATAATTATAGAATAATTATGTACAATATATATCTGTATAAGGATGTCATTTTCTTACTCTCTTCATTATTTTAAGTAATTCTCACTTAGAGAAGACACGGAAGGTTTCCATATAAAAATAATACTTCGGTACATAAAGAGAACAGATTATGATTTGTAAAATTAACACCAATAAATACGCAGATAGACTCTTGTGCTTAAAATTTTACATTTTATTGAGTATAGTTAAATTAAAATTTACTAACGCTCGCTGCTTATCCATAGAAAACTTCTAGATCTAATGTTATTAGAACATTAGATGGTTATCCCAAATATACTGATGTAAAGTAAAAGGTTATGGCAGTTCCTTTGTAAAGATCCCTATGGCAATTTATGGTAATGTTGAAATTAATTGATATGACAAAGTATGATTTTAAGTGACGAAATAACAACAACTACATTGAATAGAAATTTTAGACACCATTTCAAATACCAATTATTTATTAATTGTAAGAAACACTAATTTTCAAAATCAGAAGATGTCTTCGATAGCCTTAAGCAAATCTTTTTTTATAAGCGTCTGAAATATTTTAAAACAGTTACTGTTTATTTTCTTCTTTGATTAAATAAAATGATGGGTTAATATGTGAACGTATGACGATAGTGTTCTAATACAAATTTATTTAAAACCCTTCTTAAGCGAATTCTAAAGGTTCCCTCTGACCACCCGTGCGGCTTTTATCTTGTAAATTTCTGATTTATTTTTGCATGAATGTCTTAAACCTGAGATAATCTGGGACATGTACCAAAAGTTGTGATTTGTCAAAGAAGCTTTTGTTTTACTGCATTTGTAAATAAAATCAAGAACACGTCATTTTTGTTAATTTTGAATTTTGATAAAAAACAAGGAGTTTAAAACAGCAACTCCAAGTTCATTTCTACTTTCTTTACCACTAAGATCAAGATAGGAAATTTAGACATTTAGATTTGCTTAGTGTAATATAATAGGAGCATGTTAAAGACCACTTACGCTCATTGCTTATCCATAGAAAACGTCTAATGTTATTAGAAAATTAGACGATTATCCAAAAAATATTGCTGGTTATGACAGCTCCTTTCTATAGAGCTCTACGACAATTAATAGTCATGTTGAAATGCATTGATATGACAAAGTCTGATTTTAAGTGACGAAATAACAACAACTATATTGATTAGAAAAAAATCTTAGAACCGTAATCTATACGGTGAAACACTCATTTTCCAAATCAGAAAATGTTTAGTTATGTCCCTCGATCCTCCAAATTAATGAAATAAATAACTTATTGAATCCGCATAGGAATAATATCTTTTGAGAAATAATATTTACGCGAATTATACATGTTCTATCTAAACTAGCTGATAGAACACCCGCGTGGCAGTTTGTTATGTTATATTTCTGATTTTTTTTTGCATCAATGTCTTAAACCGGAGATAATCTGGGACACGTACCAAAAGTTGTGATCTGTCAAAGAAGAACGCTTTCGTTTCACTGAATTTGCAAAAAAAAAAAAGAAAAAAAGGAACATGTCATTTCTGTTTATTTGTAATTATGATTACAAGTAATGGGTTAAACAGAACAACTGAAATGCATATATTCACCGCCGAGGTAATTGTTTCCCTTTCGTTACTATTAAGAGCAAGACCAAAATTTGTAGATATTTAGATTTCATTTGCGTAGTTAGTGTAATATAATAGCAATATGACCAGTAAAATGTCAGCCTCGCCGCCGTGAAACCAAGACAAACAAACTAAAGTTTTGTAGTAAATCATTCACTATTATAAAAGCAGGTACAGAAAATTTCTTACTTTTAAGAATACCTTGTTTTCCGAAGACAAAGGGAAATATAAGAAACCTTTTATATATGTAGATAAAATATATATAAATAATACTTAAGTAAAAAATAAATTTCTTAATCAATTTAATTAAAATTATATGCTCATGCATCAGTTTGCATTGATATATTGTAAACTGCGCATGTCTTACTCCACACAATTTTTTGTAAGTTTGGAATATAGAAGAATGTGTAGTTCTAATGATAACATATTTCTGCCAAAAGTTTGTATGACGCTATATCTATATCTGATAAATAAACGTTTATAGAATTTATAAATATCATTTACAAATATTAAACATTGTTGTTTCTGGTAATAATTAATTTTATGTCAGTTCTCGAAAGAGTTGCTACATAGAATTTTTCTGTTATTTAACAAAACATGCGTAACTGGATAAAAAATTTGGAAAAGAATATTATATTCTATTTCAACATTTTACAGTTTTTCCTGCATGTGCAATTTGCGATAACATACATGTATTTCTTTCATGCAGATATTTTTGAGAATAAACATTAAAAACTAAAAATAAAATTTTGTAAACTACAGACAGTATAAACAGTTATATAGCTTTATAAAATCAGATAATTCTCTGTATAACAAGAAACATTTTAATATCTAGATGCGGAACACTTCAGACTTGTCTTGTTTTCCAAAAGTTATCTGATATATTTAGCATAGTGCTTATCATAAGTACCTTTATTGCCAACAGTATAATAAATCCAAGAAAATACGAGGCATTCCATTGTTTCCAGTGATCGAAAGATTATCTAGTTATACTCTTAGTTACATGTTACTTTTCTTACGTATAAATTTACACGAAAGTTTTATAGTTTTATACATAAACCAATAATTATTTGTAATTTAACTGATAAGTGTTTGCAGTTTTAAAGCACTTGCGATAACAACTTTATATCATTTGGTAATTGAAAATGTATTATCTATTAGAAACTTGGTATAAATTTTGGAAGAAATTGTCTTGCATACAATGCATTGTTTGATTGAGAATCACTGTTAAACCTTTTCTTTTTTCACCCAGATGGATCTTGTTTTGCAGATACTTGTTAACTCATGTCCGTGATTTTTACCACCATTTATTATTTTTAGAATTTGCCAATGCTTTCTTTCTAAAATGTCAATAGCCATTGTACCAAAATCACTTGTATTGTGAGAAAATATACTAGAATATGTGTCAAGTCTATTTAACAATCTAGATGGTGTAACAACAAAGATATTTATGATATTAATGTCAAAAAACAATTTGTTATATTCTTTAATTTCCCCCTTATGTTTTATGTATTCACTGTCTAACTGTACACATTTCATGTGTTTTACATACAGTACATCTTAAGCACAAAGTTTGTTTACTGGCAAGCTGAGTGCCAGATATATTAATATATAATATAATAACTAATAGCAGCTTTCAATAGAAGCCTACAACAATATAATGTATCTTTCAATTGCCAATTATATGAGAGGGATGGCTATGATGTCCGTTCAAAAATACTAAGACACTGCACGCATTATCAAGTCGTGCTTTATGTACTTGAAAATATGTCTTTATAAGACTATCAAGACTCCAAGCTTTCGTCACCATCTCTAGCTGATGCACCATGAAGTAAGCTATCCAACATCCGTTGTTCTGTTCTGGAAATAATAAATATGGAGACACTTCATGCCAATAGCATATGGACATCAAATCCTTTTTATAGTTCTATTTCTACTAGACGTTATTGTCTTCGCTTTTCCTAAAATTTTATGGGATTTTAGCAGACATTATAGTCAGAAAATGAACAGTACGGGATTCAATTATTTTCATTTAGGTAATTTATGAAACAAGACTGTCCCTGTTTTGATGTATCATCGCCTTTATCTGTCCGTCAAGAATAAATAGTTTTTCTTCGATGTCGAACTAGACCTAAACATTCTCACCTTTCATGAATAGACGATGCACCTTTTTGTGTAGCTTATAATGAATAGTTTACTGTCAAATATTTAATGACCTTGCACTTGTTTGTGATTTTATCTAGTAAATTCACTGTATATTTTGCCATAGCTTCCTAAAATAGAGTGAAATAAGAATCCCTAAAGAAAGCCCAACGCGGCAAAATTGAAAATGTTGCAGGCTCTGTTTGATTGAGCCTGTTCATGGACGGTACTGAAAAGTGCAAGTTACCGTCCACGCCCCCTAGCACCGGCTTAAGCAGAATTCAACATTTAACATGAACTGGTAAAATTTAGAATTTGGAATCTTTAAGGATCGGAAATATAACATCTTTGATTGAATGTACGGGGCGACTTTTTACAGCATCCACACGGCTCAAACAACGCTGGTGTGGCGATAAAATAGAGTGAAATAAGAATCCCTAAAGAAAGGCCAACGCGGCGAAATTGAAAATGTTGCAGGCTCGGTTTGATTGAGTCTGTTCATGGACGGTACTGGAAAGTGCAAAGCCATGTTTGATTATTTAAAAGAAATATCAGTTTTTAAAAGCAAATTTGACTCATACAATTTCTAGTCCTCATGAATTAAGGTTTAACCAATTCGTGTCATTTCAGGCAATTTCAGACAAAGATAAAACCACCTTCAGCTAGGATGGTTAAAAATAATGAGACATTCTGATTTTAGGTTTTTAGTATGATTCTTTCTACAACAAAATACTCTTAAAAGTAGCTCGATCAAAATACTTTCCATCATCTAAGACAGTCTGGTATGCATCTGACAACACATGGATATTATAAGATCTATAAGTGTTCGTTATTGATGTCGCTCAATGAGTGTTCTGTACACGATGTTATGTTTATTTTGTTTTGAAGTTTTTTTTTATTTTACATTTAAAAACAATAACAACGAAAGCTGTATCTGCTGATGCAAAGTTGTTTTGAAAGATTTATAGTTGTTCATTTGGTAAATATCGTTCTTATTTCAAGAGTTTAGATGGATAATTGCTTTTGGAGAGAGTTGAGGTATATATGGTTTTCTTATTTATTGTTGTCGCTATTTTCGATATACTGTCATAGTTTAACAAGACTAAGTGTTTTTCCAATAGCCACCCAATGGCA